ATGCGTTTATTTGCCGGGGGGGGCTCGCTGACCGGCGGTTCGGTAATCCACTCTCAGGCTGGATTCCTGGGCACTTTAATTGGACCACACAACGGAGTTACGTCTCGTGGGATGGCGATGCTGGGATTGTACGTTGGTGCCGACAATTGGGGGGGGCAAGCCAGGAGAGTCTAGTTTGGTCGTCGAGAGTTGGTCGAACCAGAGACCGGATAAATTACACATAGAGGTAGCGTCGCAATCTACGCGCTCGAGCCGTAGAACGCGATACACGCTTTGACTCCCTTCTCTGAAGGACCACTCGCCGGCGACACGCTCGTCAACTGTCGTGCCGTGCGATGGGCTGGCTTGTAGCCCGCCGCGACTCCTCTTGCCAAGACTCGCAGACAGCTTGGGGAAATCCTGTTTCGCCCCTGAGAGAGCCTTGGGTTCTTCTGGCACCGGGCCGCACCCCATATGGCTATGCGGACTCGTTTAAATCGTCTGCCCTATTGGGAAGCTGGACTCGCGGTCAGATGACTGAGATAAAGTGGTCAGAGTCGATGACTCTGGCGATTCCGATGGGCGTCGAGGTCGCGCCAATACATGCAGGTGGAATCTATCACTGCAAGCCTCGTGGATGACAGCACATATCCAAAGCATTTGATTCGAGTGTCACTATATTGATGCCTGTCAGTCGTTCGGCGAAAGGGTGGCACTGGGGGCGTCCGATGAGCTTCCCCATGGGGAGGTCACTTGACTCAGCCTACCGAGTAATCAATCCTTCGGGTCAACTACTGAAGCCTCCTGACGTCGGTACCACTCTTTCAAAGGCTTTCCGGACAAGATCGAGCGTCGTACTCCTCGGCTGCGCCGCGCGCACGAGCTCTGCTTCGAGGTCGACCACGGTTTCCCTTGGGAGAAACGAGGTTCCATCGCACACGGAAGCCGAGCCGAGACGCGGCGCTGGGAACGAGAGCCGACCATATCTTGATCAATTTTGAGCTTTTATCCAATCTGGGAGGTCTTGGATCCCTTCTTGGCAGGACGGGTTGCTGTCACAAGGTGTACACGCAGGAACTATCAAAGCCGAGGCCGGATTCTTCACCGTTCCATGGCCGTCTTATCGATCTAGTTCCTTGCCTCCCTCCCCCTAGCGACCAATAGTGACATTTGCCACAAGCGTCTGTTAATATTCGCGGCCCTACGTATCGGATAGGCCTCCCGATAAAAGTGCCGCATGGCCCCCGCACGGCAATATAACAAGGTCCTGTCATCAGACCATAGAGGTAAGCCCTCCTCAGCTGCCGTGACGAGCTGTGCGTAGCATGACTCGAGGGCAGCAAGCAGGGTTAGCACAATAGTCTGCTCGGGTATCCCAGCAGGATTTTAAAGGGCTTGAATCATAATTGGACTCAAGTCTGGTAGCTTTACCAGATAAGTGCCATTGCAGGAGCCGAGTGAATGGTAACCGAGATAAAGATGGGGGTTCGAGATGTTGGTTCGGCTATGACACGGCTTGAGACCCGGTTGGACCCGCCTGAGCCAAAGGATGTCAGATGTAGATGTCCTTTTAGCTGTACCATAAAACCTACCGCAGCTGCTGAGTGATCAGTGGAAAGGAGGAAACTTGAGACTAGATCCGACCGACGGTGAACGCTGTGCGTCACTCGAGCTGATTCTGGGTCACACTTTTCTCAGAGCCAAAAGGCTAAGTTTCTGCTTCGTAAGACAGAACTCGTCAAAAAAGCCTCCTGGAGCCTCGTTGAATTTTAGTCATTATGATTATCATTAAGAAAGAGAATCGCTATTTGAAGCCTACGCTGAAGGTAGGGACGTTTCACTGTTGCCCACACTAGGACGCCTCTCCTGCTCATCCAGGACTTCCAAATTCTCATACTCAATAGGAGCGTCCTTGGGATATGAAGGCGGGCTTGGCGGCACATCGTCGTAGACGGGCGGCAGCTCCGCATCCCAAGCCACACCGAGACCAGGTGCCTCGGTGAGGATCACGGCGTGCCGCATCCTGAGGACCCGAGCGTCGCTCGTCGCTAACACGAGGTTGGGAATATCCGACGACGCAAGCTCCTTTGATAACAACATCTCGATAGAGAGCGAGTGCGAGATTTCGGTGCCCGTGCCATCGGCGGCCGCTCGGACATCACAAGCGTACATTGCATCTCCTTTGCGGGTGTGTCGCGTTGTTAACCCATACTCAAACTCAAACTCGACGCGAGCATCGCTGGTGTTGTAATCGCTCTTCCAACCTCCGTGCATTTCCTTCCCGCCCAAGATCCGTGCCTCGTTTCGTCTAACGGTCAACTGGTCCGTACTAGCACCTTCCGCGGCGTGCCTAGAACAGACCGGAGCGGTAGTGCAGACCGTCTCTTCAAGCTTCCACGCAAGTCTTTTGAGCTTCCAGATCTCCAATCTTTTGCCCTCGAGGCTAGTGATACCGTCGAGGCGCAGTTGCACTTTATGGGTGCCACTTGGGTGGATGACGCGGTTCAGGAAAACAGTGGCCTTAACATTGGTTGGCGGAAACACGCGCATGGACTGGTGCAGTGGATCTGAGCCGAGGAGGGCTCGCTTGACTGGGATATCCCTCTCAAAGCTTAGGGGGTGGAAGCCGGCGCAGTGGATCTGAGCCTTGAACTCGTATGATACAGCAACGACTGGCGTGTCGATGCTCTCAGGGTTGTGGCCCCGTAGATGGATGGAAAACGGGTACGCGTGTCGGCCGGGGGTCAGCGTTACAGCCTTGGGAAGAAAGTCCCAGTGCTTCAGTTCCGTGTACTGATCAGAGCACTCGGTGCAATGCTTTGCAAAAGGCCTCTTCTGGTGAACATGCAGTTGCAGCGACGCCTGGAAGCTGTCAACCTGGACCGTTTCCTCGACATCCAAGTGCATCATGCCCGTGAAGAGAGCGCCAACGGAGCGAGAGGCATCATCGTGAAACATGACTGGCGGTGTCTCAACGAGCCAGTCCAACGATACTTTGGGTTGGTCATCATCCTTCTTGTATAAGAGTCCAAAGGGGGAGAATGTGCGGTGGTGCTTGCGAGTTTTCTTCTTCCTGGTTTGGCGATTGTCCCCCTCGCTGTCGGATGCGCTTGGCGAAGCGGCTGGCGAGAAGTGGCGGATGATGGGAATGAGGTCACTCAAATGTAGTGATGGTGAAGTCGGCGTTGTGGTGGGTGAGTTGTGGCCTGAGGGGTGTGCCATCTTGACTTTCTAAGGCGTGCGTGTGGGATTGGCTGGTAGGGGGTATTTCTTGGCTGCCGATTTGTTTGTTTGTTTCTGAGAGCACCTGTGTTCTCTCGAAAGGAAGATTGTGCCAAGAAAAGCAGTCCTGAGGTTGTTCTCGATGGTTGAGAATCCTGGCGACGACACCAGATGAGGGCCCTGGCTTGCTGCTGCCTAGTATGTCGTCGTAGGCCGCAGGGGTGCTGTTGCCGAATCTCCGGGTCGCTCACGGCTGCGACTCGAGATTAAGGAAGCCTAGATGTCCCCCCCCCGAAGATCACTGGTGGAACGCGATTGTCGCAATGGTTGACGCTGCTGACTGCTGCCTTTTCGTGCTTGCTGATGGCTCTCGGGGACGACGTCCGTGATGGTGTTTGTTGGCGTCTGGTTCGCTATTGGGGCCGATCATGAGCGGAGCACGATTTGACCTCTTTCTTGCATGTATGCCACAATGTCAGCGACAATCCTCGACAAGTGTTAGAGGGCCTTGATCTTATGAGGCATCGTAGCAGCCTCCCAAGCAAAATGGTTTGATGCATGTGTCATACACACATGAGCGATGCCCTGGATCCGAACTCGGAATAGCACGGTTCCCCACCTGGCATCGCCGGTTTTTTGGGCCTCAGGTTGGCGACGTGACATGGTCTGAGGGTACTGCCAAGGCAAAGTGGTGGGTGGTCGAACTGGGTTCTCCGCCACTGGCACGCTTCGCATCAGGTTTTCTGCCTTGGCTGCTAAGCGTCGGGCGGTCTGACGACGGCGCGGCCAAGCGGCGAAAGCATAAAGTCGCAGTCAGTTGGACCGGCACCATGGTCATGGAAGCAAGGCCCTGAAGTCAAAACGGCGCTCGGTCGGGAGTCATCGGCGAAAAAGACGCAGCATGGAACCGACGGGGGTGGCTTAGTATTCCGGAGACGATGCCGGGGTGGGCAGGATCCCGACTCTCGGAGCTGCGGGCGTCGATGGAACCAGACTTCGGTCTCGGCTGCCGAAATGGAAGGCAGAATCTCGAGTTGAAGGAGTCACAGGCGGCCGGCAGTTCAGGAGGTTCCATCGGCAAGATGCTGCTGAAGTCGAAAAGCCAAGGCCTGGGGCGGTCTGGACGTCGGGCCTAGGCGGGAGTCGTCCAAGCCTGGGTAGTCATTTGGGTGCCCATCTGCGTCATGTCGAAACGATGCTGACCAACGAGCAGAAAATGCAGTGGAACGGGATGGGGGGGTAGATATCTTCTCCTTTCTGTCGCTGGAGATGTAGCCTCCGAGGTTGTGGTCAGCACCTTGCCTGGTGTGCCCGACCTCGTCCTCTCTTCTCAATTGCCTTTCTTCTTACTACCTTACCTTGGTACTTCCCCCTCAGTCGGTGCTGCTTGCCTTGTTTCTCACTGCTTCTACCTCAGTCGGTGTTGCTTGCCAGCTAGTGACAACTGAAGGTGCTACATGTACAAGTACCTACCCGCCCACACCTGCCAGTGACTGGCCCAGAATCCACTGCACCTCGAAATTGGCAGGCACCACGCAGGGCGCCCCGAGGCAGCGGCGCCCGTGCTATGCCTCAGCCCAGCGGGGCGCACGGCGGGGATCTGCCAAGGGGCTGATCCAGTTAGAGTGCAGTGTAGCACCCCTGCAATCTGCCAAACCGCTGATCATTTCCAGGGCCGATCGACTTTCTGGCTCCTTTCTGGAGCCCGGGTGCAGGCAGACCTTGCCCTTCAGCGGCCAAGGAAAAAGACTCGTCACACGACATTTCGATTCCCATGAGGATGCAGCATGCGCGAATTGAAGAAATTAGTGTTGCAGACACATTGTAGCTACCTAGCGAGCAATCCCTTCCTACCACGTTTCACATATGCAACGGACAAACCGCCCACACGCTGCTCCCGCCCTGCACACTGATCGCCCTGAGCCATTGAGCTCCGAAAATGGTACGTAGGGGAACCGCAGAGAATGGAAAATTCCTTCCATTCCCTCTTTCGTTTGGATGTTCGCGGAACCAGCGGACGTGAACAGATTGAGCCTGTCGGGAGCCAGCCGATCGTTGGTGCTGGCGTGGGGAACCCTCTGCCCTAAATGGGGGTCAGACTTCAAATAGTTCGCTGCGATACGAGGTCAGCTCGTTCATGATTCACGGAGCCTGCACTTGCGCGCCTTGGTTGGTGTGAGAACCTACAGGATACGAGGCCCGCATCTCCGCTCAGCACGCCTCGGAGAGCCAAGGTCTTCAGGCTCTCGTTGCCGTTCTTTCCTGCGTGCGTTGGCAAGGCAGTGCCTCGGGACTCGAGCGTCGTGGTTTTGCAGTCCATCGAAGCGTCTGCGAGGGACATGCTCGGCATCGAAGCCAGCTGGACTCATATCGCGGTTCACCTCTCTACTAAATCACTTGGCATTCTAATCCTCGTGTCGATCTCTTGCGTCGGCGCTACCGCCCGAGGCCTAGCCGCCGTTGGTCGTCGAGCTTGCGAGGCGTTGCCCGGGTTGAGGTTGTCGTATTGTTGGTAGCTTGTCAGCTCGTCGGAGGCAGCTGAAGTCGCGGCTTGCGTGTCATCGTGACGATCGATTTTGGGCAGTTTCTGAGTCGAATTACCAGAGCCGAAGGAACTTCTAAGCGTTGCAGATGGACAGCCAAGACGAGCCATTGCCAGGTTGGCGTGAAAGAGCACCTCCACAGCTGGAGGATCGATGCGGAGAGATCGGAATTCCGAGTTCGTGACGTGACAAGCTTCTGTTCTCGCCGTCTCAGTTTTCGTTGCAGTCGATCGTTTGTCGTTGTCCACACCGCGGCCCTCTCCTGTTCGATCACACACTCCGTACGTCCAATGACTGGCTGATGAAAGCCACGGCGTCGTCGATGCCCTTTGGAGAATTGAACCAGTGGCCGCCGTCTGGGTACTCCTTCCACGTCACCTGGGCGCCAAACTCGACGAGCTGGTCTCTCAGCTGCCGGCCCCAATCCACTAGCACAAGAGGGTCGTCCACGCAATGCTCCAGAAGCACAGGCGTCTTCCTCAAGACGCCATTGCCCGCAGGCACGCCCTCGAGGGCCAGGACCTTTCTCGTCTCCGGCAGCGACCGCCCGGGGAACGGCAGGCGAGACGAGAAGCCGAGGAAGGCGCCGAGGCGCGTCTCGCCGTCGGTGGCGAGGTTGAGCAGCGTGTGCACGCCGACAGCGCCGCCCTGGCTGATGCCGGCGAGGACGACCTTGCCCCATTGGCCGCCGAGCGTCTCGGCTTCGCTGCGCAGGATCTTGCGCAGGGCGGCGACGCTCTCGCGCAGGCCCGGCTGCTGGACCTCTTCGTGGTCCTTGAAGTTGCTGACGTCCCAGATGTCGAACCACTGGCTGCGGCGGTCGCCAGGCATGCACGCGACGTCCAAGATGCCGGCGGACGGGAAGACCCAGCGGAAGGACGGGAAGGCCTCGGGAAGGGTGAGGCCGCGGGAGGTGGTGGAGTAGTGGATCGAGGAGGCGAAGTCCTTGGCATTATCGCCGCGGCCGTGGAGGAAGACCACGGTGTGCGTGTGGTCGGTGAGAGGGGGGATGGTGACGATGGCGAGGTCCATTGCTGGCGACGGGGGGGATTCCGTTCTCGGCTCGGATACTGAGGGAGTAGCGGTGGTGATATGTCGCTCGCTCAGCAGGGCACGGTCGTGTCGGAGAATGCTCGTTTTGTTTGGTTCGTTGCTGGTCGGCAGGCGCAGGCAAGATGAGGCTCGGCTCGTCGCGATGATGGCTCGTCAGCGGCAGCAGCAGCAGCAGCAAGTGAGGTTACAGAGTGGTGGAGTGAGAAGAAGTTCAGACGAGCAGCCGCACGCCCGAGCTGTTCAGACTTTCTTTCTTGTCTCGGCTCTTAGGAGGGGGGACGTGGGGGTTCGGTCGGGTCGTGCCTCCTCTCCGAAATCTTAGGCAGGGCCTAAAGGTTAGGCAGTGATCCGACCTGGGATCAAGGGCGTAGGACAGAAGGGTCTAGACCGTCTGGGCCTTTCGTGTTCCTGGGAGTGTACCGGGACCAGCCAGGTCTGTCGGGCTTGTCAGGCGTCGCCAGGCACAGTTGGTGGGTGAGCACTTTCGCTGCCGGCCTAATAATAGGTCCACCTATACCCCAGCCCCAGCTCGACGTCGGCACATCCCCGATGACTGACATGGCTGTTTCGCCTACCATGGTCCCTGGTGTGCTGGGATACTGGGGGAAACAAGGTATTCCAGCAGAAGCCGACTGATCAGCCTTCTGGAAGCCGACTGATCAACCTTCTAGAAGAAGGGTTAAATGAGAAGCATGCAAACCAAGTCCCGGCAGCTGGTGCAAGCGCAAGCTCTTCTTTCGCACATCATGCAACCATACGAAGCCCCATGTCGGTTAGCCTGGCGCGATTGGCGGACGGCCTGGTGCAGTGGTGCCGCCCTGTGGCAGGTGCAGCGAGACATATCTGCTATCTGGCGGCACATTTCGGCGCGCGTCGGGGATGCGCCGAGACCTCAAGCCCGCACTCCTGGCGCGTCGGATCACCTGATTATGCACTGGTTCCGTCGAAGCGAGGTTACTAATCACCACAAGATGGCTTGCTAATGAAATGAGCGACTGGAATTCTCAAGGTGCTCTGTGCCACTGTTCGAGCCACAGGGCTCATGGCAGCGACGGCTCTTGAGGATGGCAGTGTGGCTCAGTGGGAGGCACATGTCGCTGATCCGAGGCACAGGCTCCTTTCCGCTGCAGGCTCTTTCCTCTTCAGACAGACTTTCTACCCTCTCTAGACAGATACTGATTATCCATCCTATCTCTGGCTTACCTCTTAGGCGTATAGCCACAACATTGCCATCCCGGGAATCTACTACCTCAAAGACGGTTCAGTCTTTGGAAGCTTGCGGTGTCAGTAACTGATATGCCGTTCTAGGATTCAGCCTGTTGCGTATCTCCAAGATATCTTCTGGGTGTACAAAGTCAACACTCTACTAGCTGGCGAAGAACCTTTGGCGAAAGTACTAATGGGCTGATGAACGAAACCACCGCCAGCGCCTTACGCCCGCAAGCTCGTTGTGATTTGTCTATCAAAGCATGGCTCGCTGAAGACCTGAGCTGTCATGTCGGACAGACCAAGAATTCTAGTGCAATATTGGTTCGCGTGGGGATGGAGGTGCGCAAAAGTTGGGGTAGTGAGTGGGACCAGCGCCGATGCGGGCAGTTGTTCAATGACGGGGCGACGTCCCTGGCGCCCAGGATTTGGTTGAAAACTCTGCACCGACGACTGTTGGGTTTTGCGAGCCAGCTATTCAGCAGTGGACGTCCGTGTCCGTTTTACCAGCGGATGCGCGTGTCGCGAGCTGCACTTGACGGCAGCAAACAACCGGACGACGATGATGGAGGTACGTACAATAGCCAGGTTGGGATGAAGGTATTTCTGGGTGGGCCTCAGAGGCCAACGGCCGAGGATCCGTCCCTCCATGCCTGAGAGGCGTCATGCAGGCGAGAAGATGGAGGGCGAATACCATCAAGCCAACTTCCGATTTGTAGCCCCCACATCGGGCACGCCCTCCGATATCTTCCTCGTTTCGGCGCCGTTCGACGTGGAAGACTCGGTGGGCGACTCGGCGCCGCAGCTTCGGCAGTTGAGCGATGGACTGGTAGGCTGACAACTGATGCTACTTGAATGCAATTTGACTGACGAAGCGTCCAGGACCTGTAGAACAGATGTGGGCAAGCAGGATAGCCTGTCACTCCCAAGTAACAGTGCCAAATGTTGTTCGAGTTAGTCAAACTCTCAACCAGTGAGTGACGTGTCTCACCCACCAGTTTGTCGGCCATGCACTGCCGGGCGATTCATCCCTTCCACAAAATTTCACGATGCTTCAACTCAGGTGTTCGGTGCCAATCGATGTGGACACGATGACTCCTCCGTGCCGCCCATCACTAATTCTGGATGACAGAAATTGCCCCCTTTGCTTCCTGCTGACACCTCACGAGACTGGCCAAGCACGTGGACGTGCACGGCACCAACGGTGGCCGAAGCTGGCTCCAGCCAGTGTCCAGCTGATCATCCGGCGCCCCTATCCCAGAGATTTTCCCCAGGGATTCAGCGGCGCCACGGGGGGCGGTGAGTGCCGCGGTGAGCCGCGGCCCCTTCGAGGACTTCCGGTGCAGCTAAAAGTGATACCATCGTGAACTCGTAATTCCAGGGGTGGTTGGGTGCGAGGAGTCACCGCGGGAGGAGCAGAAGCAACCCAAGTGCCGGGACATGCTGGGAGATTGTGCTTCAGGCCATCGTGACCTTGCTCGCACCCCCAGACAACGAACGCACTTGGTGCACCGAGTTTTCCGTGGCTGTGCATCCAGCTGTTCCACCGCTCGACAACTACCTAGCAGAAGAACGGAACAAGGGGCCCAAAATTGGAGTAAAATTGGAACTTCGAGTTCTAGACTTGTCCCAGTAAACGGAAACAGGGGTGTAGCGGAACATGTCGCTTCAGCGTCGGTCAGGTCCTCAACCTCTCTAGGCACGTATCAAGCGCTATGTGTGCGAGCCGGTAGCAGTCCCCCACAGGCGGCGCCGGACCGGATTCAAGGCCATGAACGGACTCGTCTCAAGCGGCGATGGTGCAGTTCACGTTACGGACGGCCGCGCCCAGGATAAAAACGGAAATATTATTTTGGCTCGTTGATGACGGCAGGCAGCGAAGAAGCAAAATCTGTCGATCAGACGGATCCATCGAGCTCGAAGCGACGCGACCCGCTATACATCCCGGCCCGGAGGGTGGAGGGCCATGTTCAAAAATGGCACCAGCGACAGCGAAGTTGACGATGTGAGGAGCGGCCTGTCTTGTTGCAGGACTGCAGCAGGATGCTTCAGTTTCGTTGGATGCTCGTGACGGAATTGGGTCTGCCGAGGGGCAATCGATGGGGTAATGAGACCGCCAACAGATCGGGGCTCTTGGGTTGAACAGATTTTGCATTGGCCGTGACGACTCAAGGATGGAGCCCGCCTGCCAGTCAATTGATCCTGTGTCTTGCAAGGTTTTGCAGAAGGGACATGGTGCATCAGAGTACTTCCCCAGGCGCACGCCCCCCAGACCTTCCAATTGAGCCAAGTCGGTCTGTCCCGTGGGCAAAGGCGTGCTCTTGCGATGCTGCACCATCAAGTAATCTGGGGGTAATGGAAACGCAGACCCGTCTAGGGGAGGAAAACCTGGGGGTAATGGGGGGGTAATGGAAACACTGGCAGAGCCTCTAGGGGCTCCAATCCAGCCACTCTGGCCACCGTCTTGTTGATGTGTGTGACCCTACCGTTTCTCTTCCTGGTTTGGGGTTTTTTGGCCCTTGCTTCCAGGTGGCCCCTTTGCCCCTCCATCGGAGACGGCGTCTTGGGCGCGCCTAGACGCGGGGCAAGCGGGCTTCGTGAGTGGGCCCTGAGGAGGAGACGCCGGGCCATTCGGAGGGATCAGTTCGCATTGCTTTCGTCACGAGGGGCCACGAGGGGCCAAGTATTGTGTTACTTTGTTGGGGATCGATCGGAGGATTGATCCAGGATTGGAGATGGATGGGGATGGAATGTAATAACGATGCGAGGCAGGTGGATTGTAACTTGGAACGGCGCGTGCGACTCATTACCCTGGCCGTGGCAGGGGCAAGTCAGCGTGCGCACCTGACCTGGAGCTCTAGGATGGATTGCTGTTGCTCTTTCCTTCCGTTTGCGTTGGTGCTCGGATCAGCAGGCATTGATCATTGAAACGAGATTCGGGACCCGGTGACCGCAGCCAGTTTGACAGGCCGGGTCGGACGGGGTCAGTGTTGAGTTTCGGTTGTCTTGAGGTTGCTAAAAACTGCGATGAGATGATACTGCACACGTATTGCCCATTGTGGAGTGATTGGAGTAAATGGAGGCATGGCGCAAAAGGCAGGTAGACGTACTGTACATGGTAGGCACCTGCCCCTCACCGAACTCACCGCAGGCAACCCCTCTTGCGCTGTGCGTTAGGTACCTACTCTGCTAAGGTAAGGTACTGTAGGTGTGTGGATTGTGGGTGTGGATCAGGAAACGGATGGAGTAGCGGCGCCAAACGGGCGTCTTCTCACCACAGTTGGCGTTTTGCACGTCTTTGCCACAACCACCTATAGGCAAACAGACTCGTTTTGGGTTACGCCCGGATGCTTTTTGTCCCTTTCTCACTCCATTCCTCTCTCTCTGTGTCTCTTTTTCTGATCAAAACCTTCTGTACCTATGTGTTGTCACCTGCATCATCCAACATCATGAAGGTACTTGGCCCCTTTACAATGGACACCAAATGGCGGGGTTCAGCGCTTGCTCCAGGCGTGTAGTCATTAGCGCTATATAGCATGCAACGATGCTTGGAGTCTGGGGATTTTGAAGGGGTAATGGCAATCAAGGGAATCTCGAGACGGCGGCACAGGCTGATGAAAAAATCTCCAGAAAAAACTCCATTGAAAAACCTTGCCATGGGTAGCCGTCCCAAGAGAGATAGGTGCCTGTCAGGTCCCGGCGAGGTAGAGTCGTCGGCCGGTATGCGGGGTGGAAACAGGGCGAGATACCTTCTAGAAACCCGTAGGGGACCGCCGCCGCAGGTCCAGCTGACGTTCCAGGTGGTCGCCCCTCCTGTGGCCCTGCGGGCTGGGCTCCCCAGTGGAGCATCTGGTCCTGCGAGACCCCTGGCACGAGCGACAGGTACGAATGCCTCTGTCCAATGGAGGCGCCTCCCTGCTGGCTGGTGCTGCCCAAAGAGGCTTAAGCGGTTGCTATTTGGTAATAGGTCGCCCAGCGTGATGCAGGCGAAGACATCATCGTGATCAGGCTGGTTTTTTTCGAGCTTCCTTTGACTCTCGCTCCTGCCTTTCTCACTTTCTCACATGGTCCAAGCCCGGGCCCGCGCCCATGCCGCCATGCCACCATGCCAACGTCAGGCCGCCCCTTGGAAAGCACCGTTTCCCCAGTCTCAAGAGTTAGCCCAAGCTCCACGATCAAACTGACGGGGCTCCGTTTCGAGCAGAGGTTGCGCAATGCCCACGACGACGCACGAGAAGAACCATGGAGCGTCGTCGAGGAGCAAGTATATAAGGGGTGTGCATGTTCCCGCCTGCCACTGGTCTCAAGCTCTCGGTGATCGTCAGACTCCTCCTTGCCTTAGCATCGTCCTCCCTAGATCAACCTCGATTTGTTGATCATTCCTCCTGTTCCTCCACTTCCTCCACTCCCTCGTTGTCGTCATCTTGTTGCTGCATTGCACCGCCGACCTCGTGTCCTGCCCTGTCTACCTGTCTACCTATTTACGTTACTTACCTCCCTACTACTACCTACCTATTTTCGGCACAAGCCCAGATAAGAACCCGAGACCACGAGCCTTGCTTCTTATCAAGAACAAGCCTGCTCTGCTCGTTTCCGCAACCGGCAACGAGACAACGTCGCACCAGACAAGAAACGCTCCTTCTTCCGAGCTACCCAGCTCTGGCCGGATGGCTGTGCTCCAAGGCCTCCCAACTACCCCCCTACAGCTCTAGGCCTTCGTCAGCCGAACATCCCTGCAACCCGCCTCACACGGCTCTCCAAAGAAACGAGGGGCATTCCGGACTACCCAACAACGCGCGCCAGCACCAGCAGCTCCAGATCCCAGCTCTGCTTCTTCGCGCTCAGCCTTTGCTACATAAGCTCGCGACCGTCTGCTCGAACTTGTTTCACAACCGGCCGACATTCTTTGTTGACCGCCCCAACGCGTCAATCCCAACTTGCTTGTTCTCCCCCTTATCAGCGCCCGCCCCTTATCTGCCCCGCTACGGTAGATCGGATCGGATCGTCTCAAATCCTCCGCCTGCCGTCCCTCGACGACGTCAGAATACGCACACAACTCAAGCAGCCAGCCGAACTCGAGTTTCAGCTGCTGCTCTATCTCTTCAATCTTCCCGCCCCTGATCTCGTGTACAGTCTACAGATCAGGCTTCTCGGTACGTGCATCCACCGCCACAACTGCCTGGACCTCTTCGTGCCTCGCTGGTGGTTCTGGACCCTGCATCTTCCTTATCAACGCCCCGTACACGGCTGCTGGAGCGGTGAACCTTTGCGTCGTATCCGCGCCGCCTCGTCTCTGCTGCCTCGCAATTCTTTCCTGGCTTTGTTATCTCTGCCCAGAGCACGTTCGTTGCTGTCTGGGTGCTACCAATTCACCGCGCCCGTCATCATGTTAGCCACCGTTCTGTCTACTCTATATAGGGTCTCGCCAGCCTGTCTCTTGTCATTGCCTTGTCAGACTCGACATCCCACTTGTTTCCGCTTGTCTTTTCAGAATCATCTCTAGATCCACGAGGAGCAGTTCTGGCTTCTTCCAGACCCGCCCATCATGTTGGCCCTCAAGATCCAAACTGACGTTTCTCATTTCGACAGATTTCCGGAATACACCGATCCGTTCGAGATCCCAACAGAAATCATGGCGACAGCCGTTCCCCCCCGCAACAAGGCCCTGGGCACCGTCCTGGCCGAGTCCCAAGAGCCCAGCCGACACCCATCTCCTCAGCCCACACACTTCAGCGTCCCTCATCTCTCCCAAGCCAACGGCAATGGCCACCGCGTCCTGCGTTCGGCCACTGTCGGCTATGTCGCTCCCGAATTCGTCGGCAAGGACGAGCAGATGAAGCAGGTCAAGGACCTTGTTTCCTCCCAGGGCTGGATCCCCCCTACCGTCGTTGACGACCAGGTTACTTGGTTTTACGAGTCGCTCGGTATCGACGATGTGTACTTCAAGATCGAGACGCCTCAGGTCATCGCCAGCCAGGTGACATCTCTCTACGCTGCCAAGGTCGCCGCGTATGCGCGCGAGGACAAGCGCGAGGAGATCAGGCTAGACATGGAGGCTGAGGATCACGCCATCTACATTGACACCAGTGAGGCTGGTCGCACCATCACAAATGGCCCTCGCTACGAGAGCAGGCTCGAGGCCAAGTACCTGGATCACACGGGCCGCTCCAAGTACCGCGTTGAGACCTTCCGCTCCCCTGGCGTCCTCGGTGCCTCTCCCAGCTCCAAGGCTACCCTGCGCTGCTACTTTGTCTACCAGTGCATCTTCAAGCAGCCCCCAGAGCAGACTGATCCCAATGAGACCCGCATCGAGGTCATCGCCGATCAAGGTTTCCTGCAGAAGGCCACGGCCAACACCAAGCAGATTTACCAGGAGATTATCGAGCTGGCCGTTAACAGGACGGGCCCCGTCATTGAGGTCTTCGATATCGAGGGCATGGCCGAGAAACGCCTCGTCGTTGCTTTCCGCTCCAGGACAGCCCGTGGCCTGTTCTCCGCGCTTTCTGATCTTTACCACTATTATGGCGTCACCTCCTCAAGGAAGTACGTCGAGCAGTTCTCCAACGGCATTACCGTCATGTCGATCTACCTCCGCCCCGCCATGACCCTCGACGGCGAGTACCCTCCCCTCGAGCAGTCCATCCACCAGATCACCAAGGAAATCTCCCTCCTGTACTGCCTTCCCCACAACAAGCTTCACGACCTCTTCACCAGCGGTGAATTGAGTCTTCAGGAGACCGTCTACGGCCACTGTGCTTGGGTCTTCATCCAGCACTTCCTGAACCGCCTTGGATCCGAGTATGTCTCGCTGACCGACATTCTCGATCCCAAGAGCAACGTTCACACTGCTCTGCTGTCCAAGCTCAAACGTCGCCTGAGGACAGAGACATTCACCCCTGACTACATTTTGGAGATTATTCAGTCGTACCCCAGCCTGGTGCGCGCTCTCTACGCCTCTTTCGCCAGCGTTCATCTCGCTGTCGGTGCCGACTTTGAGCGCCATTTCATCGCGCCCACCCCCGCCTTGGAGGTCATGTCCGATGCTAAGCTCAAGGAGAAGATCACCCGCGAAGTCTCCAACGAGCACGAGGAAATGGTCATGACTGCGTTCCGCGTCTTCAACAACGCTATTCTCAAGACCAACTATTTCACCCCTACCAAGGTCGCCTTGAGCTTCCGCTTGGACCCGGCCTTCCTGCCTGAGATTGAGTACCCCCGCAGACTGTATGGCATGTTCCTCGTCATCGGTGCTGAGTTCCGTGGTTTCCACCTCCGCTTCAAGGACGTCGCACGCGGTGGTATTCGTATCGTCAAGTCTCGCAGCAAGGAGGCGTACGGCATCAACGCCCGTAACCTCTTCGACGAAAACTATGGTCTGTCTAGCACTCAACAGCGCAAGAACAAGGACATTCCTGAGGGCGGTTCCAAGGGCGTCATTCTTCTTGATGCCAAGATGCAGGACCACTCCGAAGAGGCCTTCGAGAAGTACATTGACAGTATCATTGACTTGCTCTTGCCTGGTGTGACACCTGGTATCAAGAACCCCATTGTCGACCTTTACGGCAAGCAGGAGATTCTCTTCATGGGCCCCGACGAGAACACTGCTGATCTTGTTGACTGGGCAACGGAGCACGCCCGCAAGCGTGGCGCGCCTTGGTGGAAGTCCTTCTTCACCGGCAAGTCTCCCAAGCTTGGTGGTATTCCCCACGACGAGTACGGCATGACTACTCTGTCTGTCCGCGAGTATGTCAAGGGAATTTACCGCAAGACCGGTCTCGACCCCTCGACCGTCAGGAAGATGCAGACTGGTGGCCCTGACGGCGATCTGGGCAGCAATGAGATTCTGCTCAGCAACGAGAAGTACACCTCGATCGTCGATGGCTCTGGTGTCATTGTGGACCCCAATGGTCTTGACAGGGAGGAGCTTCTCCGCCTGGCCAAGAGCCGCTCCATGATTGTCAACTTTGACATCTCCAAGCTGTCGAAGGATGGTTACCGAGTCCTCTGTGAGGATGCCAACATCACTCTGCCCACGGGCGAGGTCGTTGGCAACGGAACCACCTTCCGCAACACCTACCACCTCCGTGACACGGGCATGACCGACATCTTCGTGCCTTGCGGCGGTCGCCCTGAGTCTATCGACCTCATCACCGTCAACAAGCTCATCAAGGATGGCAAGTCTACGATTCCCTACATTGTCGAGGGCGCCAACTTGTTCATCACCCAGGACGCCAAGCTGCGTCTCGAGGCGGCCGGTTGCATCATCTACAAGGATGCCAGTGCCAACAAGGGTGGTGTTACCTCCTCCTCGCTCGAGGTCCTTGCATCTCTGTCCTTTGACGACGAGAGCTTCAGGCAGCACATGTGCCACGATGCCAAGGGCGTGGCGCCCCAGTTCTACAAGGACTATGTCAAGCAGGTGCAGGCCAAGATTTGCGAGAACGCCCAGCTCGAGTTCGAGGCCATCTGGCGCGAGCACGAGAAGTCTGGTGTCGAGCGCAGCATCCTCTCGGACAGGCTGTCGGTCGCTATCACCGACCTCGACGAGGAGCTCCAGCACTCCGACATGTGGAAGGACGAGCGCACGCGCCGCTCCGTCCTGGCTGACGCTCTGCCCAACCTTCTCCTTGACAAGATTGGCCTCGACACCATCATCTCCCGTGTGCCCGACGCCTACCTGCGCGCCATCTTCGGCAGCTACCTCGCTTCGAGGTTTGTGTACGAGTTCGGCATCAGCCCCGGCCAATTTGCATTCTATGATTTGTGAGTCCTCTTCCACGCTCTTGGCCATCTGACCCTTGCTAATGTTCTCTCCCAGCATGTCCAAACGTATGGCGAAGATTCAGTAGCTTCGTTTTCAGATTCACGGCAGGCGTTGTCATGGCTTCCTCCGCTTGGAGGGGATGCCCAGTGTGCATGGGGCGAGGGTTACGAACGGAAGTGTGCATATCACTGGTGTTATTTACGCGGGCGAGTATTCAATGGGTCATACGGAAGAGAAAAGAACCAAAGGGTGTGTACGTGACGCATCGGAAAGACAAAAGTATGATGAGGCTTATTGGCCCCCGGAATTCATGATCGAGATGGTAGAACGGTCGAGAATAAGCTGGTCGTGCCGGCTGGTATATTGGTTTCTTTGGTCAATATGAGAAAGTCTATTGTTCTTCGTCTTGATGTGCATCCGAGTGTTCATGCCCGCGACGTGATGATGGGAAGGGTTGAAGGGCAATAAAGGCCCGGGGACTCTGTGGGTATATTCTTTTTGAGCAGATAAGTACCAGAATGCATGGACCTCATCCAATGCTTTGGGGGTGCCTGGATGCCTTGACGGCGTTGATACCGGGTTTCGGTCTTGCCTCATGTTCGAATTCGATCTCGAACTATGGCCTGCAATACAGGTAAAGCATACAGTGTCCATGCTCTCGAAAGTTAGATAGATTAAAGACAACTCAGCGCATCATCCCGACGTAATTCAAATAAACGCTAAATATGAACCCTACGCCTTATATGAATCAGGAAGATGAACACACGGAATGCTCCGCCGCAGGCAGCCCACCCAAACCCGTCAAGCCTCATCAATCAGACGCGCTAAAACCCCGAGTACGTCTCGCCCCAGCTGTGAAGGAACCCATCCGTCCACCCAATGATCGACCCTCTGACGCCGGCCGAGATGAGCGTGCCCCGACAGACGCTCGCCGTGTCGACACTCCGCTCGTACTTGAACACCCACACGGTGCGGTCGACGTAGCGCGGCAGGTCGGAGCTGCTGATGATGCCGGCGATGAGGATGCTAATGAGGACGCCGTTGCCGAGGATCATGGGTGCACCAGGGCCTCTTCATGCGGGCGCGCCACCACCGCGCATTATTGCCGACGAGGACGAGGACGGCGGCGTCGACGACCTGTGCGACGAGGCTCGCGGAGAGCACGGCGACGGTGGCGGTCAGCCAGCGGCGCTGGTCGTCGGCCCGGCAGGCGGACGCAGCCGATGCCCTGGCTCGCGGAGCGGTCGACGGGGAGCGGGGTGCTCTGGCACCGCGCGGGCGTGGCGAGGACGGCCTCGCCGGACTGGAACATGGGAGAACACCAGACGGCGGCGAGGTCGTCAGTCTTGCGGCCGCGTGCGGCGTTGGCGAGCCCCACGAACTGGAGGATGACGAGCGTGACGAGGAGCAAGAGGGCGAGGAGTGTGATGAGGGCCTTCGGGGCGAGGTCGCGGTCTTGCGGGACGGGCTCTGGTTCAAGAACGTGGACGGCGACTAGTGGGAGGCGGCAGGGTTAGCACGCGGTGCTGGGCTTCATGGCGGGGGGAGGAGGGGAAGGCGAGACAATGGCTGCAGGTCCCGGAGGAGGGACTGACTACCCTTTGCAATATTACCGTTGTTGTTCTCGCCGCGCGCGTCTTGGCGGATGAGCTCGATGGACGGCCTCCGCTGCGGCCGGAAAGGTCTCATGAGGAGCTGCTTAAAGGCAGCCCATAACAGCACGACGCCGTTTTCCTGAATGACGAGGAAGACGAGCTGCATCATGGCGCCGACATCGAGCACGATGGCAAGGGGCATCCATACCATGACCTGGTCGGGCGTCAGGTGGGTCGTGTAAGCTTGGGCTGTAAAGTAGACGCTGAAGAAGGCCAGGAGGATGGACAGTGTCTGGACCTTTTCCCACCGATTCACGCGCAGGACCGTCACGGGCAGGTGAACGAGGATCCATGCGAGGGTATAGGGCCAGGGCAAAAGACAGCCGCCTGGGTCCGGCCTCAGATACGTAGGGGCGCCGCAGGGCGCAATGTTGGCGAGGGAGACGGCAAAGTCGGAGAAGACGAGGGTGGAGTTGTCGGTGCTGTTGGTGCCGATGACGGTATCAGGATCGAGGGCGCACTGATCCATGGTGTTGAGCTACGGCTGACGCTTACTTTGGAGCAATTCAGCCGTATGGTTCTTTATGTGTTCAGAAATAAAAATAAATAGGAACTGCAGAGACGTTTGGTCATTGCAGCAGACTTAGAAGGCACTCGTCAGCTTTTGAGCTCTGAGCTGGTTGTTATTCCAGGCTGGGCCGCTGCAGCCCTCGCACACTGGCGCTGTCCTCTGGAACCGGCCAGACTGAACAGTTCAAGCGCCTGGCGTTCATGGGCCGCCTTCAAACACCATAGGCCAGTGTTGGAGGGATAGATTGCCTTGACGGCATATGGCCATGCAAGCCATTTCGATAGATGGAGGGCGCTGCCAGTGCTTGAAGTCGTCGTGGCGGTAGCTGCAGGACGGCACTGGCTTCGTTGGGTGTGCGGCATGCAAGCCACAGCGCATCAACCTCATGACTTGGTTGTGCTTTTTCCTCTTTCGGTGGTCGAAAGAGTGGCTAGACCAGTATTGGACTGATGTGGGCTGAACGGTATTGACGGCTCGCGACGGCTGTGCCGGTCAGGGCTGAGGTTCGAGGGGATGGACCCTGAAGTTGACGCACTCCCGCCGCCCACGAGCGCAGTGCTCAATCATTTCGCGGCGAATGCACAGACACGGATTGGCTTGTAGAACTGCATACTCCAGTACCGGAAACACAGATCAGGGGTAATGGTTGGTAAAGCATCGCGTTCCTCATCCTAATGCTAGTGTCAGCGAGTCGGTTGCCGGTGTCGGGCCTTGGAGACTCTGCGCGATCGAGTTGTACCTCAAAAGAGCACTCATCGACACAGCTTCAGACTTGTCGGCATAGCATCAGAGTTGATCCGCCACGTTCAGTGAGTCAAGGTAGCTAAGCTCCATGGCCGTGTTGATGGGCATGGGATGATGGGCATGGGATGATGGGCATGGGATGATGGGCATGGGATGATGGGCATGGGATGATGGGCATGGGATGATGGGCATGGGATGATGGGCATGGGATGGGATGGATGGAGGGGATGGAGAGAGTCTGCCTGGGGAAGGCGTTCTCGGTGTCCTGAATGGGATGCCCAAGGTACGTACCGAGACACCATGGCCACAAATGGTTTAGAGGATTTTATGTGTGGTGTACCAGTGCCATGTACCATGCACCATGTCGAAGTACCTACCTAGGTAGGTAGGCATGAACAAGGGTAAGCGAGGTATCCATGAATTGTGGGTAAGATGGTTGTGCAATGTCTCCCATTGGCTGACTCTATCCTCTTGTACCTACCATGTAGTTTCGTCCCTGCCAACCCAAACCCAACGGCTGTCCTGCTCCTGCTCCTGCTCTTTTCCCTCCCACGGCCACCACCCGCGCCGTACCCCTGATCGTCCATCAGCATGTCCTTTCCCGCCAGAGTCACACTATCGCCAGGGCGGGCATCCTTCCTCGAGGCCATGTCGCAGCACCTCGCGTCTCAAGATGCTGCCATCTCTCTGCTTGGCATCAATCTCAGACAACTGGTGTGCCTTGTTATTCCTTATTATTATTATTTTGCCACGGTAGCCAAGACTTGAGCGTACGTATACCACAAAGGACCAAGCACCAATCGTGACAACCAGCATCGCATCCTTCAGATCAGATGACAAGGCTCCATCGGACTGATTGACCTTAACCCCGTCCATGGCAGCCTACTCAACCAACCCTACGGGCCCGCCGTTTGCCACGAGTTTTCCCAGCCGCCGCTAGTCGCACTGCACTGCCCGAGACAACCGAAGGATGCCAAGCCCGTACGACAATAATCCTGCTGTTTGCTGCTGGAAGGGGGGCGAACGTTCTGATTCTGGGAGGACTGGTTGGCGCATGGCATCTCGGCCTTTCCATCTTCCCGATGATGACTCCAAGATAAACACCATCTGGAAGGACACTGTACCCCTGGCAGGCTGTGCCGTAAGTGGTGCGACCCCAGCTTGCCTAGCCAGCAATAGCCGACTGGTGACCCTCTTGTCAGCAACGCCAGGCCGCCAGCCCTGCGCCAAGGGCCGCCAAAGCCTGCAGCAGCTGAGGCCGTCTTCTTTCGCCAGTGGATCGTAGGCCATGCACTTCTCCATTGGGGTGTGCTGTGACGACCTGGTCGTCGTCAACCTGCATCCTCAATCTCGATCTCGACAGCCACCAAGCGCCCCCGTTGCTCAGCAAAGGAAAAAAAAAAAAAAGCTGTAGCTTCTTCCTCTGACGCGTCGAACATGAAACGAAAGAACATCTTTTCAACTGAAGCATTCGACGTCTGAGCTTATTACTCACAGTCACGAATGCAGTGCTGATTGATCTACTTAGCCGCTCAAGCTGCAACCCTAGCGAGTCAACAGGCAAAAAGGAGACCCAGCCGCTAGACAAGGGTACACCTGGGTCTGAGCCACCCTCGTGAAGCACAACGCCCAGCTTCCGTCCATAAGCTGTGCCGCGCCGGACCAAACGGCGATGCGCAGGACAGACAAGGCAGCCCATCTCGCCAACGCGAATCGGGAACCGGGGGCCGCAGTGCCTGGAGATCCAAAAATGGCCGAGAATAAAGGATGACCATATCCCCCACGCAAGGCCTCTAACATGGCTCCCCCCTCTCTGAGATCCTTCCCCGGATATTCCACATTCTTCGTGGACCCCCTTCGCCTCTCTCGCCGTCGATCAAAACGTGCGTCACCGCCATGGTGAGACCCGCGACCATCGCCTCGGGCGCCGTTCCCTTCTTCGAGCTGGCTGCGCGAGGTCCGCACATTGCGAAGCGCCAGACCTCGCAAAACGCATGCGCCCAACTCTCAGAAGCCTACAGCGGCGGCAGTGGCGCGTTCAATGGAACGTTCGGTAGCAGTACGCACCTTCTTGTCACCCACCACTCTGTCTCGGGTCTCCTGTTAACCCCTCTCTCCAGGTAGCCCCGCCCTCGTGAGGCCCTCCATCGCCTACGAGTGTTTGCGCTCGATAGCTGTCGACACCGAGCGTGACATCGCCCTCCTCGAGTACCTTGAGCCATGGCTTGAGTTTCAGAGCACTGTCGGCATCCTGGCCGATCCTCCCGAGGGCTACATGTACCCTGGTGTCGACATTTTGGGTGGTTTCTCCAACATGACAAGCATGCTGCGGAACGGCGACTACGACAACCAATACGACTTTGTCGTTGACTTGTTCCGCCTCATCAACGTCAAGCCGCGCGAGGGCCATTTGTCTTATACCCCAGCTCTGATTAGCGCTATTCAATTCGCCACGCCGGCCGTCTTTATTTCCATTTCGGAAGACGGCACCAGCCTACCAAGCATTTACCTATATGGTACGCCGATTTCACAATCGCATAGCCACCTATCTGTTACTAACATGCTGGACCAGATGACTACCTTCAGAGCCAAAGTCAGGGTTTACGACGCCGCCGAAGTCGTCTCTTTCGACGGCACCCCCATCTTCGACTGGCTTCAGCAGCGTGGTGTCGACAACGACCGGAAGCCAGGATCCTGATGCTTCGTGGAACTCCCAGCTGTACAGCGCGGCTCTCGACAACATCGGCGTCTCTGCTGCTTCTACAATCTTCGCCCACGGCAATCTCACTGATCGGAGCACCATCGTCTTTGGCAACGATACCGAGGTCTCCTTCAACAACGTCGCTGTGCTTGTCGGCGACTTCTCTAATATTTCGTCCGGCGAAGATGTTCACAACAGATTTGAAGTCCCCGACAGGTTTGGAAACGCAGAGTCGAGCCCCTTCACAAAGTTGGCGAAGCGCCAGTCCGACGGCTTCGACAATGTGGGCTATCCGGACCCTTTCGTCATCCACGAGGACGGCTATATCAGCGGCTACCACTTCCGTCGTGGCAAGCTGGACGATACAGCTGTACTCGCCGTCAAGAGTTTCTTGACCTCCGACCTGGAGTCGCAACCCGAGGCTGACTTGGAAGAGTTCGTGCGCGTCGTGTCGACCTTTGTCACAGACTCTGCCGACGATGGGAAGGACCGCCTGATCATCGATTTCCAAGGAAACGGTGGTGGTTCTCTAGCCAATCTCATCGCGCTGTACCTTTTCCTGTTCCCCCAGGCCGAGACCTTTCTCCCGCTACGAGCCCGCGCCAATCCGCTCCTCAACTGGATGGGCGAGACTGCCGCCGAGTTCCGAGCGCCCATGCTGCCCGTGTACGACCTCCGGACCGCCGTCGACGAGGACATGAACACCTTCAGCAGCTGGTCCGACTTTTACGATCTCGAAACAATCCTCGGCGACGACTTTACCCAGATATACCACCCCTTGGATATGAGTCTCTTCCGCCAGTTCAGTAGCCTCCCTGAGCACTTCACTGCCAACAACACTGTAATTGTGACAGACGGTTTCTGTGCTTCAGCGTGCGCGCTCGCTGTAGGTCTCATGTCGCGCCTCCTCGGCATCCACGTCGTCACCCTCGGTGGCCGCCCCAACGAGCGTCCTGTGCAGGCGGTTGGCGGCACCAAAGGTGGACCCATCCTGACTCTTGACTGGGGCAAGGCCATCTTCCCGGATATCGCTTCCGAGGAGCGACCTCCATCAGACCTGAGGACAGCGCCCTTCTCGGAGGTGGGTCCGCCGCTGGCAGGTCCTCCGCCCGAGATGATCGTCGTCAACTCCGCCAACGTTCACCTACACGACGACGACGATGCGGCGCCGCTGCAGTTCGTCTACGAGGCCGCCAACTGTCGTCTCTTCTACACGTGGGAGACCCTGACCAATCTCACCAGCCTCTGGGAGGCCGTCTCGGATGTCAAGTGGGATGGCGCCTCCTGCGTGTCGGGGTCGACGACCAACAGCGACAACACAATCGGTGACTCTGCCCCGGCGTTCTCGCAAGACTACGTCTCCAAGTTCACCTGGACGCCCGGCCCCGGTGATATCTCGGACAGTCCACCCACGGGCCCCGGCGGCGGCGGTAACGGAAGGAGCAATGGTGGCGGCGGCAACGGCAATGGCAACGGCAATGGCAACGGCAACGGCGGCTCTTCGAACGGCGATGGATCGGACAATGCCGCGGGCCGGGTCACCGGCGCGAGCCTCACCGCTCTGGTTGGCCTGGCGGCGGCTGTGGTTGCGTTTGCTTGATTTTGGAGCGCTTGAATAACTCTTCGACGTGACGGCCGGTTTGCATAGTTGAGGTACTGCATGTGGGTGCGGCATAAACATTGCATGTTAGATTGTTTGAAAGCATAGATACCAGTGTAGAATGCATTTTGTTCTACTTGTACCCTCGTGCAGCATGAATAGCTCTTCGTGCTGGCACGCCGCGGTCCCGGTCCTCGTTCAGGTCCTCGATCTCGCTAGATTGGCTAGCTGTTGAAGGATAAGTCTGTGCCAACAAGTCAGCCATCAGGTGAAGTTAAATGTAATCAGACGCAGCGGTGCGCAGATGTCCAACCAGGAGTTGATAGACCCTACGGAAGTGCACAGACACAAGTAGCCATCCGTTACATTCCATGTAGACTAGATCAGAAGCAGAAACGGCGGTTCAACCAGGAAGAGGGCCGTCATGTCCACTGGTGAACGGTTGACTTTATCTGCTCGCATCCTCAGATGCACCTTCTTGAACCGGGCACTTTGGCATTCACTGTCATGGATAAATCCAAAGGAAATCGTGTGCAAATCTTGCTCGCATCTTCTCGCTTGAACAGAGTTATGCTGTATTTATCCTCTCAGTCTGCACGCACGCAGTCGGCGTGTTCTGGGCTTCGCGTGCCTCTTCCTCTCCGCTAAGAAACATGATGACGAGAAGGGGGTGTTGAAATATGGAGGAAAATCCCGGCATTCTCTCAAGCCACTTGATGGCTACATGGGATAACCACATGTCCAAAGTTTCAGACTTTGACGCAGTCAATGGCTAGACGGTATCTTTAGGGCCCGTCTCACGTCCAGCTGCTTGACAGCAACGAATACCCAGATCATGCTTTGCTATTCCACCCCCAAAGCTGGTGGGCATGAGAAACAGACAACGAAGTTTTCCGCGTGCTCGCGGAGCTGGCTTTTCCACAACTGGATACTCATCATCAGATTGATTGGCAGCCGTGGGTCAAAGTTGGCTCGCCGAATGCGGTGAGCTCGGCCGCAGGGTACAACGAGCCTGGGAGGAGGGCGTCAACGGACGACGGTCGCTGCTGGATATCTGCGGCGGTGGTAGGTTCAGGCTTCGGCATGAAGTCGATTAACTGTTCATTTGCGTCCTCGATGTGTGATGTGCATGTTCGTGGGTCGAGAGGCGTACCGAACTTGACGCGTGGCAGGTCATTCAAATGTGGGCAGGCTCCCACGCGACATCGCGTTGAATGACTGAATCAGTGACTCTTCATCTCGAGTATTTGTTACTCTTTCATCAGTGAGAAGTAGCTGTTGCATTTATGTGAATTTTTCTTTACAATGCGTGGAATTGTCTGGGTTTGGCGAAACATTGTTTGAGGCTGGCGATGCATATGCCGTTGTGGAACTACTTTCACCCAAGTGACAACAGGTAGATCTAGGGAGTGTGGTATTTCAGTCATTTTCAAATCAACGGTTCAAAGATGGGATGAGTATTGGTTGAATATCATTATCGGATTCAATAAGGTAACGCGTCTCAAAGTAAGTCAATTCTTCGAGACATTCGCGAAGGCCAATAGAGCCGGCCACATTTTTATGCGAATTCAGGGTGCACAAACATGGCAACGCCGGAACGGCATCATGATTCTCATGCAGCAATCGACAAACCATACATGACGACCACCAAACATAACCCCAAAGCACAAATGTGAATTAAAAATATCATAAATAGCACGTTACGATGATCCGCAGTCCGCCTCCCAAAACGCCCTGTAAACATGTATCTCTCTCCCCCTCCCTCAGTACATCGGCCTCGCCCCCCTCGAAGTCATCGGCCTCCTGAAGCCGAACGCAGGCCCCATCTTCCTGGCGACGGGCGTCTCCGGCCTCCTCTCACGCAGCCAGCTCGCCGTCTCCATCTCCTTGATGTGGCTAAAGTCGAGCTCGAGGACGTACTTGCCCGGCGGCGCCCGGACGCTGCCCTGGGCGTCGCGCGGCTGCGGGACGTCGGGCGCCTCGACGGACGCGGCGTCCTTGAACTCTTCGTCAATCTCCTCCTCGACGCCGCCGTGGTCCTGCAGGAGACGCTGCTCGCGGCGGTCGGCGCGGCGGTCGCGGAAGGTGCCCCATCTGCGGCGCAGGGAGACGAAGGGGCGGGCGAGGGCGCAGCGGAGGCGGGAGGTTGGCTTGCGGGTTGCCGTTTTGGACAGGACGAGCTCTTCCTGGTCGTTGGTGACTGTGATTGTCGGGGTGGTTGGTTTTGAGCGGCGGGTCATGAAGAGGCCGATGCAGGGGATGGCTCGCTTGGCGGCGCGGGGTTTCTGCTGAGTAGGATTCATTGTGAGATCTGGTGATTTGCCTCGTTGAAGGTTGCTGCCGTTTTATGATAGTATCGAAGAACAAGAAATAACAGATATGCCTGGGTTATCTTTGGTTCTGTTGACTCCGGACAAGGAACGGCGCGACACTGCTACTTGTAGGCGTAGATGAAGACTCAGTCCATCCCGGTAAGCGATCCAGACTTGACTTATAAGTCAAAAAGCAAAGTGCGACAGCATGAGGCGAGGCATCAATCAGATCATCTGGCAACCGGGGAGACGGCATTCGCATTCCATCACTCCCTTGGGTGGAGGGTTTGGCGGGGTAACCTCCCAGACGTCCGATATGGAATGCGGCAAGACAGCCGCGGTGGATCATGAAAACGATATCGCCAGTTTGCTCGGGATGGCACCTCGAAGCTCAAGGCGCTGGCCTGGTTGCATTCTGCGAAAAGCAAAAAGCAAAAAAAGGATACCAAAATTCATGCGTGGGCTGGCACACCAGGTCACATCGCAAGAGACGTTCTACAAGACAGATGGCGGTGTCGTCTGTATATGAAGACGCTCACGAGGGTTGCTGCGCAGGCTCAACCAAAACTATGAGACAATGGGTCAGGATCGCCGAATTTCGGCTCGCGGATAGGTCACCGTTCCAGCGACCGTCCCTTCGAACCGTCTGCCTCACTGGAGATGGGCAGCGACCAGGCACATACCCGAGTCCGCCCGCAGCATTGCAAGACAGTGATGCAGCACATTTTCGGTGCTTTCTCGCTGCTGGCACGAACACGCATTGATCGACGGTCTGTTGTCGATCTCCGCAGAGAAGCTCCTGGGGCTAATGTACTGGGCCGTCACCAAAGAGGAACCCTTGTCGATTCGAAGGGCCAAGAAAAAAGCAGGATTCGGGTTGGGGCGTTTTGGATTGGATTGAAGCTTCTTGTCCTGCCTATCTGACCCCAAGTGCAGGCGGTTGGGTGTCCCCCCACCCGACTTGCTCTGCCTCGAGGGCCACCTGTTCTCGCTGTCGGCGGTGAACGATCAAATAGCGATACTCCATGGGGAGGGCGGTCTTTGTCGATGATTCGGCGAGCCTGTTTGTTGGCGTCCAGCTGGAGAGAGGGAGGGGTCCCTGATCGGGAGATCGAGACCAGATCAAACTGGTGATCGTGGCAGCCATCGCCACAAAGGCCTCCCGCTAAGTTCGCTTGCACAACAAGCATAAACATTAGCTCAAAAATAATCCGAACGAGATGGCAGAGCTGGTGGTGTCGAGTGGCTGGCGTCTTCGTCACCGTTGGGCCATTAACGTGGTTGGGATGCTGCCATTGACCAAGACCCAATTTGCACAGCCGCACAGCCCCGGCCACGCCACATTAGATCTACGTCACCGCGCACCTTCCCAACCTGTTGTACACGATCCTTGGCAGCGGTTACAGAGAGAGTAGAGGGAAGGATGGACGTCAGAACGTTAAGCATGATCAACATGGTGTGACGCGACTGCTTTGGGGGGATGGGACATTTCTTTAAAAAGGCAACGAACCTACGACCACGTTCGAGATTGTCCCCATTCAAGCCAAGTCCTCTACAAAGCTTAACTGTGCCTTTATTCTATCCACATTAAGTACGCAACGTCGCGAACCTCCTTACCCCAAGCGGTACACTAACCTTGCTACAGACACCTACCAACCCATCCTCAACATGCCCTTCTTCTACAACAAGTCCGTCGGCGGCCGTCGCTTCGGTACCAGCATCCAGGCCGACCGTCACGGTGTGCGTCGCGGCCCCTGGCGCTTCCGCATCGGTCGCTTCAACTGCTTCAAATAGAGACCGTTGCGCAGAAGCCACGGCGTCAGCGTCTCCTTGAGGTAGACCTATCGCCAGGTCCCTCGCACCCTTCAAACCACCAAGCAACCTAATTACTTTTACGACACGAGAATCCTTGCATCAAGGGTTATGATTTTGGCGGTGGGGAAATTGATACCCACGATACTATGGTCTGAGCATGGAGTTTGGCATTGCGGAGGCAGTCTATGCGTTGCTGCCTCTATCATGGTTGTTAATGGCGATTTCGAGAGATGCCGACTCGTCATGAATAGCTTAATACAGTTCTTACCAATGCACGACTCGTTCCTTGGTGATGTAACATGAACTGGGACGACGCAAGAAATAACGAACGCGAATTAAAGCACAAAGCGAAGGTGAGCGAGGTGTACTTAGCAAAATAACAGAATAATTGTCCGTTTGGTGAAGAGAAAACTAGCGATTACAGCTACAGCAATGCGATTCAGAGTTGTAGACAACGATATACGGACCTCGATCTCCACAGGGCAAGAGGAGTCGCGGTGAGTGATGCGCCTTGCCGAAGCATCTATCTTCCTTGAGACAAAAATTGGGTTGTACCACGGGAGAGCAGGTACATCTCAGAGTGTAGTCAAGGGTGAGGAGGGGGAATGGGAAAAGAAGGCCATGCCTTTCGGCAAACAGAGCTGGGACACGTCGTCAGTAGGGGACGGCACATGGATTTGACTGAATTTGTTAGCCAACGCAGAAAGCGCCGCGATGGTGGAAGAGTCGACCGTGGCAAGTGGGGAGCGCAGCAGCGAGTAGCTGCCATTGTCGGCGAAAGGGGGAGCTTCCCACTGCTGGTCGACTCATGGGACACACCAAGTCTGGAGATCCCTCTAAAGTGCACAGATACACATCCGTCATGCCAGTCGCGGTGGAGGGACAGAGAGAGCCGAAGACTCGCGAAAAAGGGAATTCCGTTTGTTCCGATGCATGCCCAGTTCCAGGATATGAGAGAGAACAGAGCCATCCGCAATCGACCAAAATCACTCCTGTCCCAAGTGTCATCATGCCAGCCCCTTCCATCATTCGTCGTCCTTTTGTCGCTGCATTTACACCTCGGTCGTGACCTTGGCCTTGGGGTTGGTGACCTTGACGCCGAGTTGCTTGGCGCGGGAGATGATGTCGATGCGCTTCCTGGAGGAGACGCCGTGCGCGATCCTGCGGGGTTTTTTTGTTAGTGCTTCTGCGTCGACTTTGGGATGGTGGGGAGGAATCCGAATTTTCGTCGTCGGAAATTGGAGTCCGGTGTGGACGTACTCAGCGGCGAAGGTGCGGTTGTGCATGAGGAGGAGCTCAACGTCGGAAACGTTGTTGACGAGGAATGCCTTGTGGCCGGAGGGCATCATGTACTTGGTCTTCTTGTTGGAGCCATAGCCGATCTGTCGTTCGAACTCTGCGTTAGTGGGCTTTCCTCTCGCAAGACCTCCCAGCCAGAGCCTTTCTCGTCTCTTTCCGGGCCGTCGTCGTGATGGAAACGTACCGAGGGCATGGGCGCGGTACCACGGAACCGACGGCGAACGCGGTTGTCGATACCCTTGGGCTTGAGCCAAGAGGGGTCGACACGCATGAAGCGGTCGCTCTGGTGGCGCTCGAAGCGCTTGGTGCCTGTTCCAACAATCCGTCAACAAGAGTCCTTCAACAGAGTCGTCCTCCATCGTCGACAATATCATCCGTTTGTGGCCGTCGTTTCGTCTCGGTCGGGGTGGGGGTTCAAGGCCGATCGGCAAGGAGGAACCTACGCTTCTTCACGATGGGAACATGCTTCTTAGCGGCGACCATCTTGTTGAGAATGTCAGTACGATCGTCGAGTGTGTGACTGTTGTTGTCGTGGGTGTCGTATCGTACCTTGACGGCAGTTTTCCCTGGGAGTTAGTTGACGTCGGAGTTCGTGGAGGCTGCAAGTGGGATTCAATGTCAAAAAGTTTTCCTCGTTCGCCTGGGTAATGTGTGTGGGCCGGGGTCCGATGGTTTGAGCCTGCCCTAGAGATGGCGCACGTGATGAGACGGAGATCCTAGCGTGACCCATACCAATGAGTCAGCAGCAGGAGCAGAATTGTGTGCTCTACAAATGTGGGCATCGGTGTTCGAGACCCACATTCCTATAGTGGGTCCGTAGACCTTGATGGGTGTTATTAGTCGTGCTGAGTGATAGGATCAGTCCCAGATACAAGACGACGGACGATCCCTGCCGCCTGGTGATATTCGGGATGAAGCTACCATGTCAATTGGCAACGTATGCCATCTACGTCGGAGGCTTTCGACAGTCAACACAGATGCGACAATGACACAAAGCACGCTCAATATCAACAAGGCTTGCCATCCATATCTCATGATATATCTATCCGCGCCAATGTCCCTTCGTAATCATCATCAAGCTCCGAAGGCCCTTCCTTCTAGCTCTCCCGTTTTCTATGGCCATACCTCTATCCATCATGAATGTCCAGCTTTCTCCATCATTTACTGCTGCTGGCACTGCGGTTGGCCTTCGTCTTCGTCAACATCCTCCCACTGTCCGCCGCCGCCGCCACCGTGACGAGCGCCCATCTAGTTGATCTTGATCAGTAATGTTCCAACGTCACAAAAGAGGGTTCAGCTTACCTCTGCCAAGTCCGCGTCAGACTCATAGTCAACATCGTCAACCTCCTCGGCCTTGATGGGCTCGGGAGCAGGAGGCAGCAGTTTTGCCAGAGCCTCGTGCTCCTTGTCGTCCTTCAGCCAGTCGTTCTCGGGGAATTCAACGTTGGCGATAAGGTAGAGATCACCCTTCAGCTCGCCCTTCTTCATCGGCATGCCCTCGCCGGGCACCTTCAGCACGTCGCCAGGGCGGATGATCTTGCCGCGAGGCCTGTCGATGTGGATGCCACGGCCGTCGAGGTGCGTCAGCACAACACGGGAGAACCCACCCAGCGCCTCGCCCAGCGTAATGTTGAGCTCCGCAGACAAATCGTGCCCCTCGCGCGTGAAGACGTCGTGAGGCTCCTCGGTCAACTCGAAAACAATATCGCCAGGCGTCTGGTCCGGCAGCTGGTCGGCCTCGCCCTCGATGACGATCCTCTCGCCGTTCATGGAGCCGCGCGGGATGTAAATCTCAAGCACCTTCTTCTCGGACGTCGTGCGCTTGCCCTTGCACTTCTTGCAGCGGTCCTTCTCCTTGATCTGGTTGCCGGAGCCCTCGCAGCGGTCGCAGACGACAGTGGCGCGGCGCACCATGCCGGGACCGATTTGCTGGAACGCCTCGGACATGCCGGCGCCCTGGCACTTTTCGCACTTTGTGGGCTTGACGCTCGGCTTGGCGCCAGAGCCCTTGCAGGTGCCGCAGACGATCTGCTTGTCGGCGGAGAACTTGACAGTCTTGCCCTTGTAGAGCTCCTCCAGAGACACCCTGTATTCCTGCTCTTCGTCGGGACCGCGGCGCGGCCTCTGGGGACCGCCGCCGGGGCCTCCAGGGCCGCCAGGACCGCCCATGCCGAAGCCGAACATCTGGGACAGGATGTCGTTGAGGTCGACCTCCGGGCCGCCGGGGCCACCGCGTCCGTCGAAGGCGGCCATGCCGTGGGTGTCGTACATGTGGCGCTTCTCCTCATCGCGGAGGATCTCGTAGGCTTGCGTGACGGACTTGAACTTTGCTTCGGACTCTTCGCGGATGTCTTCGGAGACCTTGTCAGGGTGGTGTTGCAGAGCGGCCTGTTTTCATGTTTGTTAGATTGTCTTCTCCCTCCATGTGATGTTGTTCCGTTGCTGACCTTGCGGTACGCCTTCTTGATCTGGTCGGGTGTCGCAGTCTTATCGACACCGAGGAGACCTGGATAAGCGTCAGAGATGATCCACCACATTTTCTGCCATGGTGAAACGTACCGTAGAGGTCAAGATCTTCTTCTCCAGAGTCCATGGTGAATGATCTGGCTTGTCAAAGAACTGGAAAAGACCCGTGCCACCTGGTATTTTTTGGAACGAAAATACACTCCCAAAATTGCAGATCTAGCCAGGCGTTGCAAGTTCGATGGTGGAGTCGCTAGGAAAACTTTTGGAGTTGACGGTTGGCGGGCCTGGCGGCGGGGTGCTATGGACTTCAGTAGGTCGATCCAGGACCTGTTCGCACACCCCACCTAGGCACCTAGCACCTTACCTCACCTCGCTCAGTAGTGGATTCGGGCTGGGGGCGGCAGCGGTTTGCGACACCGTTCTGCTGCCTCGCCTTATCTGAGACAAGGTGAGAGGAGGGGGTGGATCACGTGACGTAAATCAACCCACATTAGCTATCCCTTGGCACTCCCATTATAGGAGTTAGAACTTAGCGAAAACAACCACACTACTATCACCCCCAAATGTACCGTTATCACTACGCTCAACAAAGGCTTCCTCCGATAAGAGCAGCCACGTGTGGCTGGAGAGGCTAAAATTCCCATGTTCGCCCTGACGCGATGCAATCTGACTTGTTCGTGAGGACCATTTCTTCCACCATGACCATCTGCAATGTCGTCTGCAGCAGTCAGTCCCTTTAGGAGGTTGAGCTACCGCTCATCGACGTACGTTTGCAGGAGTTGCAAGACACAATGGGTCCGACAACACTCAACAGCTCCCAAGGGAGGACTGAAGACTCTCAGGAGCAAGCTTCAACCCAAAGGCAGCAACATACTGCATGAGCTGCCAAAGACGCCTGCAAGGACACGGTTCGCCCCTTCGCCAACGGGCTATCTCCATCTCGGGTCGTTGAGGACAGCTCTATACAACTGGCTGTTAGCTCGAGCAACGGGAGGGCAATTTCTCATTCGAGTTGAAGACACAGATCAGGTTGGTTCTGGGCATGTTCCGGTATGACCAGTCGTCATGCTAATCAGGACTAGACAAGGCTTGTCGAAGACGCTCTCCCCCGTCTGTTGAAAGATCTGAAATGGGCTGAGCTGGACTGGGATGAAGGGCCTGACATTGGTGGTCCGTTTGGCCCATACGTACAGGTACGCTAGATGATGGCCGGGGCGTATGATCGCACCCTAACGCGTGGCAGTCTGAACGCCTGCATCACTACACCAAGCACGCGGAGCATCTGATCGAAACTGGACACGCATATCGGTGCTTCTGTACGGCCGAAGAACTGGAGAGGCACAAACAGCAAACCCTTGACGGCGGCAGCCTCGTCAACTATCCCGGCACGTGTCGAAGTGTCCCACCAGACCAAGCAGCTCGGCGTGCTGCCAACGGAGAATCTCATGTTGTTCGCTTCAGGAGCGAGGGGCGTCCATCATTTACGGATGTCGTGTACGGACGATATCAGAAGAATGAAGACGAGAGCGATTTCATACTGATGAAGACTGACGGCTACCCGACGTACCACTTCGCCAACGTCGTGGACGACCATCTCATGGAGATCACTCACGTAATCCGTGGTGTTGTAAGTCTCGTCGTCACTTCTTATCGAGAGCATCACTGACAAACGTCCAGGAATGGCTCATTTCGACGCCCAAGCACATCGCCCTCTACGACGCATTCAAATGGACCCCCCCGACCTTCGCTCACGCCGGCCTCCTGTGCGGGCCTAACGGCGAGAAGCTCAGCAAACGCAACCGCACCATCGACATCGACATCGGCGCATATCGCGACCAGGGCATCCTCCCCTCAGCCCTGAACAACTGGCTCGCTCTCCTCGGCTGGAGTCCCAGTAAGAATGCCAGCGCCAAGGGCGACGTCTTCCCGTCCATGGACGAGCTCGCGAAGAAGGTAAAGTTTCGCCTACACGCGACCCTCCCTGCCCCTTTCATATCCCATCACCGGAACCTAACTTTGACCCCTTGTCAGTTCTCCCTTAAGTTCACAAAGGGCAACACGCAAACCAACCCGGAGAAGCTTCCCATCCTGCAGCGCGCCCACCTCACTCACCTCCTGCGCACCGCCCCGGCCTCCGACGCTCGCCTCACGACAACGCTCATCGACCCTCTCCTGAAGAGCATCGACGCCATCGAAACCCCCTCCGCCACCCTCGAGAACCCCGTCCCCGCCCTCGCCCCCTCCGCCCCCCTCGCGTCGAAACAGGCCCATCTCCTCTCCCTCCTCAAGACCCTGGCCTCAGACCCCAAGGAGACGGTCATCGACCCGCACTCGCTCCTCGCAAACCACCCTTCCCTCTTCTTCCGCCCGGCCCGCGCGGACGCGGCGGATGGTGCGCTCCGCGAAGCAGCAGCCGCCCTGACCGCGGCGCTGGCGCCCCTGGCGACCCGAGACGGCGAGGGCCGCGACGGCTGGACCCCGGATGCGATCCAAAAGGCCATTGCTGCGCTGCTCGCCGACAAGCCGGTCGAGGAGCGGACGAGGGTCTACGAATGTCTGCGCCTGCTTCTCACGGGCGACGGGACGAGGCCGGCTAAGCCGGCCAAGCTGCAGCTTGCTGTGCTGGGGCCCGAGGAGGCTATGCTGAGGCTTCAAGGGGCCGGCGCTGCTTAGATGGGCTGGGTCGGTGGGCATGAAAGGGGGGTTGTTCGTCGCGTGACTGTCGGCCTATACCTTGTATCATAGTCTGTTCATTATTGTAGAGTATAAGACGTTTTGACGGGAGCACTACCGGTCACGGGTTGCAGGTCATCTCGTGACAATTGATAAACGAGGTCATGATGCCTCGCCCATCCATCACAAAACACTGCGCGTTTCACATCACAGGGGAACACGTCATGGAGCACGCACCTCAAAACCGCGCAATGGACAAAACCGTCTTTCACGACAACAGCACGTACGAGTTATTACGGGTAGCTACCTCCCTCGCACCACACACGCGCGTGCACGCACTCGATGATCGGGGCGAAATCCCTTCACAGTACCACACCTACATCCGAAACACATGACACTTGGTCCAGTCCAGGAACCACCGCTCCGCCCATCCCCCTCCCCTTTCCCCAATTCTATGCTGTTGGATGCAATCCAAAGAAATAGTCAAGAATAGTTCATTGCAATTTTCTTGCGTATGCCATCGAGCCAGCTCTAAGGTGGCTCTTTCTCTCTCCCACTTGCCCTGTGGGGCTTGATTTCATTACGTCGTAAAAGATAATGGTGGTGCGACCAGCCAGCCTCGTGGCGGCGCTGGGTATCGTCCGTCTACAGCTCCTGGATCCAAATCTGCGATGTCGAATTAGTGTCGTACTCATCATTGCTTCGTGAAGACTCAGACATACCTCCATCTTGCCGATCTCCTGCCTTGTCCTCCTCGCAATAGCCTTGGAGCTCATGATGACCATCTCAAGATCATCTTGATCGCCCATAGTGATCATGTCGGCGTTCGGGCCACCGTCATCGTCGCGGACTGTAATCTTGAATCGCCTGCGCAGTCCAAACTTATCACGGATCTTGTCGACCAGGTCGGTGAACTCTATCGCCGTGCCAATCATGATGTACCGCACATCCTCAGCGTGAACCTTAACGCGGACCTTTCGGACATCGGGCCTCCGTGATGCCCCGCGGCCGCCAGAAGATGTCGAGTTGGTGCCCATGCGCCGGGGTGGGTTGTTGGAGACCATTTCAAAGTCGCCCTCGTCGAAGGACCCGTCATCGTAATCAGACCCCTCATCCTCTTCCTCGATATACCGCTGCTGTTGTTGCGGGCGACGAGAAGGGCCCCGGCTGCTGCGACCGCCCTGGTACATATCGTACAACTCGTCGGGATAGGCATCACCTCCTTCCTCGTCGTCCCGCAAGTTGCGGCGCTGCTGGTCACGACGGGAGTAGCCTCGAGCGGGTGTAGAGCTGGCGGAGCGTGTGGCGTTGGTGGGTCGGCGTTCCGGTGGGCTTGATGTCTTCTCGTATCTGTTGTTGCCACCTGAGGTGTCGATGTTGAGCTTTGCGAGTTGAGGTTTCGGCCCGTTACGAACAGACTGGCCTCGAGTCATCTGGCCGCTCGCGTTGCCGTTTCCACTGCCACCGCTGCCGCCGCCACTACCACCGCTTGCCCTGTCATTGTCCGGTGGCGGCGTAGGTGGGAAGACATTGCGATTGTTGTCGGTTGATCGGGACTGGATGCCGGGCTTGATGAGATTCGTAGCGGCATAGGAAATGTTGTCGGCTGGGCGGTCGTCCTTGACGGTTTGTCTTTGTTGCTGTAGGCGGCAGAGTCAGTACGATCAAGGGCAGAATGAACTGTGGGAAATCGCTTACCGTCTTCATCTCCGAACCAGCAAAGCCAGTGAAGGCATTGGCACGGTCAGAGGCGGCCACGAGGCGAGCCTTGCCAAGGTAATCTTTTGTCTTGAGGTTGCGGACCTTGGCTTCATTCGGCCTGTAGACGACGCCGACAGGAATGGAGAAAACCGTATAGCCCTGCCAAAGGTCAGTTCACGACCCTCCATCCAGTCCCGCTGATTGCGTACCTCTGCCTCCTCCTTGATAGCCTCGTCGATGACGTTGTGGTCCTCAACAACCTTCTCCTTTACTGCATATGACAGGTCCTGCATGCCGGCATCCTTTTGTTGGAGATAGATGTAGCAGAGACCGCGGTTGAAGAGAACTTCGCAAGAGTAAAGCTTGAAAAGAAGACCGAGTTGCGCATAATCGATCATTGTGTTGCCTCGGAGATAAAGCAGGGTGTCGTTGAAGTTGGCCAAGGCCTCCTCGAAGTCACCGAGGAGAAAGTTGGAGACGCCTTGTTGGAAGTATGCGACGGCGAGGTATTGGTCGAGTCGAATGGCGCGCTGGTAGCACTCAACCTAAGGGGCCAACGTATTAGCAAGCACGGCCAAAATGGGTGGTGTGGTGGGACGGCACGTACAGCTTTCTCGTGCTCTCCCAAAGTCGCATGGATCACGCCCATATTGAAAAGAATCTTGGATGTGTCGGCAATCTTGTCGAACTCGCCCAATGAGTCGTCGAATTCATTGTTATCATAACGGGCCAAGGCCGTCACCCAGGTTTCGATTTCCTTTTGGGATGGCATGTCAGCGAACTGGTCCTGGATTGAGGGGCACATCCTGCTCGTCCAGTGCTTGCTTCCCTGATGTTCCCCCCACCACCAACAACACAAGCAAGGCTTACTGGCGATCGAATCCGGAGTTACGTACCTGTTTCAACGACATTGTGTTACTGGACCGTGGATAAGAATCCGCGGAAAGTCTGTGATAGAAGCAGCTGTGCAGGCATACGGTCGCTTCTGCGACAAACCGACCGTGGTCGTGAGGTCGAGATGCTGGTGGTCGTGAGAGAGGCGGGAGGAAACGGGCAGGTGGACGACGGGCTGGCGTAAGGTTGGGGCGGGTAGGTTATAGAGGGGCTTTCAGGGCTTATTTAGGTGGCCACTGGTCTAAGCCTCGTGCCGTATCGCTGGCCGTGCACTTAGTCAAGGACCCGATCGGTATGGTCGATGTAGGAAATTTCCCCGCCCCGCGCTTGGGCTGACAACTGGGTAGAAATCGGCTGGGTCTCGTGGTCTGGTCTTGGCAAAAGGAATCGGGCGGCGGCAAAGGCCGTGGTGGGAAATTGCAAGTGCAGCAGTGCTCGATTGAGAGTCAAGAGCGCTGGAAGAAGTGGCTGCTCGAGGGCTCAGACGCGAAAGCCGATGAGACAGCAGCAAGTGGTGGTTCCGAAGAAGTCCCAAGAACAGACAAGTGTCTCGGGTGTATATGGTTGTGCCTTGCAAGGTTACCGGATTGTCCGAAGGTGATATGAAAGAATTATTAGTTGAGTAGAATCCGGGTCGATCGAGAGAATCAGGCGCAGTCCGAAGCGAGATACCAAGACAATAACTGTCGGGGCGGCGCTGTTGTCAAATCGGGTCTAATTAGATGGGCAAAGTTGCTTGGGAAAAGTTGTCACGGACAGTAGCGTCTTGGGGGGGCCGGTCCTGAGCGTGCGTGGTTCGATGGTCTGTCGAGGTGGAGCGCGATGTCAAGAATCGAAATGGAGAGAAGTTGACTGTGCGGCGTGGCCAAGAAAGGTGACGAGAAGAGAGCTCTTGCAGATGAGCTTGCTAAAAATGAGCGTGAATGAATGGATGTTGTGACGAGAAGCCAGCGCCTACGGAAAGGAGGGTACGAAAGAGAATGAGGAATGGAACAACGGAAGTGTTGGGCGGCTCGCGGGCCAGGGGATTGGGTGCTGGGCGTATATCATGCAAGGTCGCTCCGAGAGAGCCCACGGCGACTGATGTTCTGCCGGGCCTTCTCTACGAGAGAAACGTCGAACGCCCTGCGCTTTGGTGCTTGGCTCAGAAAGAAGTGACAGGGGCAGGGGGTCCTCGTTTCTTCTCGACTCTGGACGGAGAGGCAAGAGGGCTGCCAAGAGGGGTCCCCGTCCCGTTGAAGTCTCGTAGCTCGTCTGTGCCAGGGGCTGTCGCGTTCTCCAGCGGGAGTGATCAGTGGGACCATTAATGGCGACACAATTCACTTGTGCAACCCTCTGCGTCAAAGGGGAGGGCCTTGAGCCATAGTCGAGTCTTGACAGGAGTTGATAGCGCGCTTCGATAGATACCGTCTGAAGATCTGTAGTTCTTCTAAGCTTGTGAGCCCTTGCAAGTCTCCTTTCGGCAACCATGTGGCGGAAAGAAACACGCTTTTTCTCGATATGGCTGTCAAATTGACTGTTTCCTGGAGAAATCGAACCACTTTGCACAACTCATCGCCAGATACAGATGAAAGATGTGCTCACCATCGAATGTTGGCAAGCTGCGCGCCACTCCACCACCGCGGGATGGACAGGAGCCTGGCACGAGGGGTCAAGATGACGGGCTCGGATCGGCTCCATCTGGTCCCAGGCCTGCGCGACGCAGGCAAGATCGTGGCTGGTGTCATGGACGGCCGGGGGTGCTGCATCATCAGTGATTGTAAGGACCGTGAGAGCCCAAGGACAACCCCTGGACGAGGGGCGCGGCGAGCCCTGGCCCTGTCGGTTCCCATGCAGAACGCGTTGCAGCAACCGGCCGAACCCCACCGGTTGGCCGTGCGCTGCCGGCGCCTCGGACGCCTATTGCTTCAGGGGCCAAGGGCGCGTAAAAGGAGCTAAGTGTTCGTCACGGCGCGGGCCACCACCAGGTGCGGAGAAAAAGACGTTGACAGGGCAGGCAGCCCAAGGAAGCACTATGCCCTCAGGAGACCGCAGGCCCAAGCGTACGGATTGCTTGTTCACAGCCCGGTGGCTGGCCTTCGCACCAGGTAGATTCAAATGGCTAACTCGCGTACGTACTGTATGTACATACGATTGTGCTCGAGGAAAAGTAAGACTGAGCCCCCGCAAGCGTTGGTCCCGTCAGCTGCTTCAAGACCCGAAAGGCCGGGCCGCATGTCTGGCGTGCTGTCTGTCAATGACGATACGACTGTAAGCGCTGAGGCGTCTGTGTGACCACGATGGTGGCCGGCATCGAGGCGGCGGTCTATCGATAGGATCGGTTACAACGGGCCATGCATGGTGCCTCTAGCCTGTCCACTGATTCGGTAGCTGAAGACAACAATAGGATCAATATCACATCGCCTCTGTTGTTGCCAAAAACAGAACGTCACGATGTGCGCCGGCAATCCCAAGCACAGGATATAGTTGCAAGCCACATGCAAGAGGACCGACGTTGGGAACACAGGCTGTTGTTGGTCGACAGACCCGCTTTCAATCCGCGTGGTTCCTGCATTGGGTCGCTGTTGTGCGAGCCAACTTGAACCAGACGACGGGGACTGAGGACAGGCAGACACAGTAGCGTTGCCTCTTACGGCACACCTTTGCCGCGTGTGGTTGGCTGTCGGTCGGGATGCCCGTCGCGGCATTGGGGATCACGACACCCTGGAAAGTCTGGTACGTGGTGTTTCGGAGGTGGTGAGTTGTCCTCGGCCGTCGTCGGGAGTCCATCATTTTCTTTTCTTCAGACCTTTTCTTCAGACTTTCCGATAAGGAGATAGGGCTACTCCTGACATTGGATCGCGTGTTTGACACTGCACTGCAATTCTGTTGTCGTTGATGTCGAGTCGGAAGGTTGAATTGCAATCAGGGTTCGTGCTCATGGCCCTTGGCCCAGAGACGCCTGCCTGCCCTGACTGACATCTCGGTCTGCGGGGCTGGAATGTGTGGGGATCCTGCCCGATGCTGATGTAAGGGTCGACCCCTGTCGACATGTGCCGTACGGAAGGTGCCATCAAGCACTTACCTTCCTAGGTACCTTCCTAGGTACCTACCTAATCACTGCAATGATCAAAACCCAGAGCATCACAGATCGGGAGAATTCCCAGATCGTCTCTTCATCCCGAGTCGTCCATCCTTGTCAGCAGGACGTCACAGACATCTCGAAACTCAGCCATCCTTCAGCCTGTTTTGCATTTTCTGCCCTGCCGTGTGCAGCCCCGCTCGGAGGGTGCCTCCGAAACAGGGGTCAGTGTTCCGGCTGGAAGCCTTCCAACGCCATGTCGCGGGTGCAATTGACTAATCGAAAAAGTCCCCAACAGCTGGCACATCATTGAGCTGGCGGGTCGCGAGGAGAGAATCTCTTCCTGTTGTACAGCATGACGGGATGAAGCAGTGTTTCTTCTCGGATGCTTTCAGTAAAAGTGGACAGCGGCTTTGCCGAGCGTTGTAAGCCAGGCATATTGACTGGTGATGGACATGGAGACACGTCCTGTCGCATGCATCACCACAAACAGTCTCCAAATCGCCGACGTTGCCAAGACCAAGACGATCATCATACACCGCACCGTGGAATCGGCAGTCCCTGGAGCAACGTCTCTCCCTGGCCGTTACACTAGCCTGGCACTGGTGATAACGGTCTCCAGCTTAAGGTTATCTCGTCTGTTCTCACTACCGGCCTTCGATCCGTGCACTCTCGCAGGCCCCCTTACTAGCCGGCTGTCAAACTGGCGGCGAACGCCACCTATCGCCCGTGACGAGAGCAGAACGCCGGTCCTCAAACCACCAGGCCCGCGGATTGCTGGCTGTGCGGGGGAATGACAGGTTGGCGATGTCCTGGTAGTGCTCTAGGGCTGGCCCCTGGTTTGACACCCTCGTCTCACATTCCTCATCACAATTATGGCGTTCGGGTTATAGATCCCGGCCAGTGATGTATGGGACGAAGCATCCAAGTCGTCATCTTGGGCACACTACCTTGGCAGGGCGGGAATAATTCCAGCTCGTGGTCTCAATAGTGTCAAGTGAAGCACTCAACCTCAGACAAATGTTCCCGCTGGAAGCCACGCTCACCGACATAGAAAAACAAGCGGCGTCCGTCCTCCGCCAGAAATTCTTTCGCCGCACCGAGCTACTCTGTGTTTTCGCAGCGGGCCAGTCTCGGCAGCGTCGATCCCCTGTCTATCCGGACGGAGGAGGGGCTCTTGGCATCTCAGGAGAAAGGGCCCTGTCTAGATCCCAGGGTTTTACTGCTTCAGGTGTATGGAGGAGATCGTGAGCTGGAGATGTCGATCAAGATGCACCGCGAAACAAGAAGTACGGCGTGCCCTATCCGTGGAGGTTCCATTGCCCTTGGGGGTGTTTTCGAAACCAATGCGAGCCAATGCCCTGTGAAGCAAACCCCCGAATCGTTTGGCTTCCGCTGCTCCTTGTTGTTCCCGTCGATCTACAGAATCACCTAGAATAAGATCGTTAGGTGAAGGCCGTTTTCAACCCGAGCATCGAAGCCGAGTTGAATTATACTACGCGGCTGAGCTCAACGTTGTTGAAGTGTGGGTAAGGCTCAGTCAAGGCTTGCGCATCCACTTGTTGGCAGTCTTGGCCTACACATATCAGTCTGGAGGCAGATGCCACCTGCCAAGTGACATGCGACGGCTCTTGGAATAACAGACGAACCATCACCAAGTGCCACCGGATTTATGAGCAATGTCTCCGACAACTGCGTTTAATGCTTGCATTCTATTATGTTCACAACAGAACTAATATCAGAGCATCCCCTTCTTGACTTCATCCTGCCTCTCCTCCCACAACGTCTTGCCCGTGCACGAGCAAACCGTCTTGTCATTATCCCACATGCCGGCGCTCCTCGCAACCACACCAACAAGCGTGTCCGCATCGTTCTTCAACGGCGCGGCAGCGTCATCCTGCTTGGAGACGACCATGGCACGACCGATAATCTCCCAAATCTGGAAAGGGTGGTTCAGGAACGCGCTTGCTTTGCCGTCCTTTGTCGACAGTGAAGCGGCCCAGTTCGCCCTTGGGCGCGCCCCCTTTTCTCGCCCTTCCGTCTCAGATGCCACCGGTG